TCTTTCCCTGCAGAGTTCACCAGGTAGACCAGAAGGATGGTGGCACTCAAACTCAGCAATATATATCCCAGCAGTATCTTCCACTTGCAGTGCTGGGACCTCCTTCCACTCACGGAGGAAAGCCCTCTCTGTACTGGGGGCAAAGATGCTTCCCTGGCAGAGCTTGGAGGCTCCTTTCTGCTTTCATGAGGGCTGGGAGTGGAGGCAAGGGGCTCCTTGATGTGTCAGGGTGTCCCGTTGGCTGGATGCCTTGGACCCAGCTGTTCTCCAAGCCAGGAGCGTGCCCTGCTGTTGTCCTCCACATGAAGTTACAGCAGTCTGTCCTGAGGGGTGTAGAACATTTTCCCCTCCTTGGAGGGACTGTTTTGCGCTCCTGGTGTGATTGGGCTGTGCCATTGTAACACTGCTTCTGAGTCACGCTGAAGGCATCTGTGTGTGAGAAAGCCTGTGTGAAAACGGGCAGGGAAAGTAAGGTCAGGGAACAAGTGGCATTCATGATCATGATCAGGATCCCTGGCAGAGCCATGAACCCTGCCAGGTGGTTCACATAGGTGGTGGCATTGCTTTTACTCTCTGTAGCTGTAGGCTGTGTGTTGTGCTGCTTGTATGTGCCTCCTAAACACCTTGATAGCTGCAGCTGAGCTGTGGGGCACCTTAGTCAAAGAGCATAGCCCTCCCTCCGGCTATCAAACCCCTGACTGCTGGCCTGACCAGCAGTTTCATCAGATGGCAGGTTTCACAAACCATGAAAAGCCAGCTGGTTGCTTTGTTTGTTTGCTTTGAGGGTGCTCTTGTTTTCGTCTCAAGCGTGGCTTCTTTGAGCCTGTTGATGCAGGAACCAGGGTGTTGTTACCTGCGTGTGGTGGTGGGAGAGATGGCTACAGTCACAACTGTTTAAAATCACTGTAGCAGGATTGTGTTACCCTGGGCAGTCACTGCTTGCAGCTTCAGGTCATGACATGGCTCTGACCTGGTGCTGGAGGAACATCTCTGGTCTTCCTGGGCTGCAGCTGAATACCTTAAGAAGGGAGGAGGTCTTACACACAAAGATGACTCTGAGACACATCCATACTCTCCTAGGCTGGGGCAGTCTGTGGGTATGTCTGCATCTGTAATGGAAGAACCACCGGTACTTCTGTTAGGCTTACATAGCCCTTGAACGACAGAGCACCTCTGCACAGCTGGAAAGGCTCCTTTTATGGATAAATGGAGATGAAGCCACTGTAGACCTGGTTGTGATGCAGTCTTGGGGCTTGGGATTTAGCAAATCAGGGTTCATTTCAGCTGCAGGAAAATCATGTAACCATCCTTTTTCTTCTAGATCTCAAGGCGCAGCAAGGTATTTGGTTTCACACTGGAAAATGAAGCCTGCCTGATTGACTTTCCAAATTAAACTTAATCGCTTATTTTAAAGAAAAGGTGCTTGTGTGTTCAAGCTAGTTTCAAAGCAGAGCAGGAAAACGTGAGTCTGTCTATTTTGTTTTGTTCACCTTGGCTCTAACAATTAAAAGGGAAAAAAGTTTAAAGACAGTAAATTCCTGCCAGACTCTGAGGAAACTCTGGTTTTGCAGTAAGCTTCTCTTAGGATGGCGGATTTAGGGATTTTGAAAGTTGGCAGAAAAAAGGAAAATAATGAATTTGTGCCTGTTTCATCCTGTATAAAGCTACTCTGGACCTTTTGCAACTGTTTTTTTTTATACAATCCTTTTTTCCTGCTTGTTTGAGAGATTATAGTTATTTAAGGTTTGCTTGGTCTGAAATGGAATGGGAAATGAGCTTAATTACAAGAGGAAAGAGATTGGAAGGGGAAGATGGTGGCTGGTCTTATTCCAAAAGTTGGGAAGATAGCTGGCTAAGGAAAGGACTCACCAGGGGAACTAGGATCCCTAGGACTTGTATGTGTAATGGCGATTTAAAGATTCTTCATTGTGAAATGCTCTAGTGTGGCCTTCAGTTTCTCGGCACGAGGAATGAATCTTTGCTGAAATTTATGTCTCTCTTATGCAGAGGGTCAGGCTAAATGATCCTCATGGTTCCTTCTAGCCTGCAAAACCTTGATGGTAGTATATTTCATGTGCCTCAAAGGAAGGAAATGGTGATGCTGTTTTTGCATCTTGTGCTGTTGGCTCTTGAGCTGTTTCCAGCATAATTAATGCCACCTTCCAAAGGCAGTGCTGTAGATAGCTTCTGAAATATGCTGGATACGCTCGCTTCAGGTAACAAAGGTGTATAGCACGACACATCCCAACACCTGCTGTGCCTGAAAACACAAATGAGCGTGAGCTGTGCCAAGACTGCATGTTACAGTGCTGCTGCGGCAGCTTTTTGCCAAAGGGATCACAACAAGAGCATTACAAAACCCCAACCAAGTTGGGAATTGGATCACCAGGAAAAGAGGCAGGTTTGTTCCTTGCTGGGGAGGCGGTGTTGGCTGGTGGGACTGTGCTGTGTGTTCCTTGCCAGGAATCGGTTTGTGACAGAGCACCTGAGACAGAATATTCCCCTTTTCTTACCATTCCCAAGGCAGACGTTTTTCTTTTGGAGCTCAATGTCAGGGTTAACCCCATGACCAAAGCAGACTGGCTACATGGAGCTGCTGTGGCGATTACAAATGCAATCGGAAGTCACGCAACTGTGGATGACAGCAGGGACTTGTCTGGTCTAGGACAAGCCAGATTTATTACTTTAAAAATAATAATAATAAATAAGAAGCTCTGGAAGGAGTCTATTTAAATACATAACTAATAATTAAATAAATAAATAAAGCAAAGAAGGGGAGGGTATTGCTCAAGCAGGAGAGAGAATCACACTCCAGGACAGGGAGGGAATACACCTTTTGGATTCCCACTGTGTTTTTTGCCTGAAACTAATCGGGAGTTTCTCATGCTGCTTCTGCCAGTGGGTATCTTTTAAAGGTTGTGATTTATCAGCTCATCTTTTGGGACAGTTTGTCTCTTTTAAATGAATGAATGTCGTTTGCTTTTCTGTGTGCTTCCCATTCTTACCACTTAAAAAAGCAGAGTTGGAAATTGAAATAAGATGGTTCGTCCTCTTTACCACACTGGAGCATGCAGTGATTTAATTTTTTACCCATTTCCATCTTAATTCTGCACCTCATCTGAATTTTCCCTTGCACCTCCAGACTTCAAACCCTTGTTTCAATTTAACCTGTGCTACGTAAACCCTTTTTGAGCTAGGAGAGTTTCAAAATCCTGTCTTTCCCTCACCTCAGTTTTGCTTTCTAAATATTTGCCAGGTGGTAGCAGAAGGATAATTACAAATCCAAGCCTCAAATGTTGTAAGCTGCTGTATGCAGGTTTTTAACTGGCCTGTGCGTCTGGGAGAAGATGCTGGAAGAAACAGCAGCGGAGGGAGGAGGAAGATACAATTATTCACATTTCATGATAGACAAGCATATGGTACAATGGTGCTTCCTCTTGTGTAATAATTATGT